GAAGCCGGAGAAGAGCGTCTCTAGTGTCGCACCTGACACCAGTAAGAAGAAAAAGAAAAAGAAACCGACATCCGCAAATAAACAAGAGGTACGAATGAGAAAAGAAGCAAAATATGCATCTCCTATGTATTTATATTACATTTACATTTAGTCATTTTGCAGACGCTACAATTGGGGAATACATAAAGCGATTCTTCTTAAAGAGGCAAACAGACACAGGAAGTGCTTGTAAAACCAAGTTTTAGGCATTGTTCAAATAAGTACAAGCTAGAATGGGAAGGAATAAATAAAGAGAAAGGTTTTTTTTTTTTAAGTCAAGTAGCGTCGAAAGAGATGAGTTTTCAGTTGTCGCTGAAAATGTTGAAAATGAAAATGCTGAAAATGTATTTTTGTATTTTTTATTAGCTCCTTTAGAAGTAATTTTCTGCGGGGTTTTTTTTTAGCTTCGTTTAGCTACCGCCAGCATTTTTGATCGTTTTCACAAAATTTTCATGGCCCCTAGAATATTTTATTGTATGAATATCTGAACATGCAATATGTCAAAAGAAAGAACAGAACATCTGCTTTTAAACCAGAAAAAAAAAAAGTTTTATTCTAGCTTCATGCATCAACACTTGAATGTGGGCAAGTTTCATGAAAAAAAAGTTTTTTTCCTGAGGCTAGTGTGTTTTTTTCAATTGTTTTCAATGGGAGCGCCGCGTTTTTTAAAAACGCAACTGTGTTGTCGAGGCACTGAGCATTTATTTCACGCTGAGCATTAACACGCTCAACATTTATTCCTCTGTACTTCCACGGATATTCCGTATCATAGCAACCAATGCATCTCAACTGAATAAAACGCTGCACTTCAGAAGCACTCTCAAGTGCTCTCAGCTGGCTAAAAACACTAAGTCTGGCCTAAGTCTGGATTGGATTCAGAATGATGAGCAAAACACAGATGCAGTCAAACGCTTCCATCAAAACCGCCAAAGTTTCACAGTCCTAAACCACTTCCTGGGTCGACATTTCATTCGAGAACATTAGGGAGTTTTGATTTATATGCTGTTTAATGTTTGATCACATTATTTTACATGCATCTGCTTACATACATTCTGATACTCACTACTCTTTTAGAAGATCTGAAATAACGCCTCCTGCTGTATAACAGCGAAAACAAGGAAAGCCAGAAAATTCTATCAATGGCGGGAAAAGAGCTAAAAAGTCATAAAATCAAGTTTTCTTTTAAAATTAAAAATGCAACCATTTCCTGTGGTCTAGGACTACAAGCCGCACAACCCAGTCTTGCAGTACACGCCAGGCATGGCTCCTGATCTGATGAACATGGGCCAGTCAAACATGCCTTTCCGAATGGGCTACCAGGGTCCAATGAGCATGTATGCCCAAAACCAGCCTCTACCACCAGGTCAGTGCATGCCTTTTAACCTCTTTTCCTTTCCAGCGAATTTTCCTTTTCGTTTCAGTAATTTTAGCATCATGAGATGCATGTAGGACATCTTCTATTTGTTTTTTTACTTTTCTTTTATGCTTTTTCATTGTCTCATTGTATTTTCCCTCTAAGGAGGCCCCGGTTTAGAGCCCCCTTTCCGTCCCAGGGGTCCTATGGGCAAAATTCCTCCACGTCCCACCTACAGCATGGCTAATATGCCGGGTGCTGGCATGGGCAACATGATGGGAATGGACAAGCAGTTCCAGATAGGCTATAAGCCCCCACAGAGCATGCCTCAGGGGCAGATTCTCCGTCATCAGCTACAGGTCAGACTGGTGAGTCTGGTTTTACTGATCAAGACCCCAGACCAAAAACACACATGGGCTGCATTTACACTGGCACAAAAAATAAGTTTTTGCTCACATCTGACACAGATCGGAATTTGTTGCACATGTGTAAATACAAAAAACCGCTCGAGATATGATTTTTTTCACATCCGATCTGAGCCACTTCCAAATGTGGTTTTAAATCAGATACATATCCAATATCGGGACATCCAACCTGCGTCTAAACACACACATCCGATTCCCCGCAGAACTCCCAATGCGAGGGCGACACGTTTGCCCATAAAGATTGTGTTTTAATGTTGGTGTGCTGTATGCGCTTGCATTTTATTGAGATGGAAACTTTATATAAGTAAAAAATTGTACATTCGGGAGCTGGTTTTCAACCCCTGCCCCGTGAATTTTATAAATACAACAGCTAAAAGCTACATTGTATTTCTCAGCAACGAGGTGATAACTTAGTAGTTTTTGTAATTAAACCAACAAGCTTCACTTGTTCACAAGCTTCACACTCGCTCGCCCATTTTCTCTCTCTCTCTCTCGTTAATTCATTCGAATTCATTACAATAAATATCATCTTGGCGCTACTTTATTTCACTAAAGAATTCTACCTCTTACGAGCTGTAGATAAAATAGCCTAACAAGTGAAAATTACTGTTGTTTTCCGTTATTTATCCGTTCAGTCAGATTTTGTGCTGCAAAACCTCCATGACAGCCGTTGTCCATGCTGGCAAATAATAATGGCCACTCGATGTGAATTATATAAATTTTAATAGCACGGTCATTCAAAACCCGAAGTGCATAGTAAAGCGATAACTGCAGACAATCCTTTTGGGTGGGAATTAGATACAGATATGGGATACCAGTCGTGTCCAAAGTGAATGTAAACAGGCGGGCCAAAAAATCGGATATGGTCAAAAGATCGTTTCTGTGCATTAAGACTTGCAGTGTTAATGCAGCCATGGTTTCCTTGTATTTTGTCTGATTAGTTGATTTGCTTTGTCATTTTAGCACATGTCCTGTAATTAGTGGTGCTTGCCCAGGCAAACATGTACTGCAGAGGCCCCACACAAATTTAGGACCAATGACTTGACTTGGAGAAGTCTGACATCACGCATCACCATTTCCGGGTCCAAACGCTCCTTCAGATACCAAAAGCAAACAACAAATGGTGTTAAGATACAGTCACGGTGTGATGTACTACTACTACTACTGAAGAAATCATGATCCTAACCTTTATGTCCATAGTGAAATCTTACTTAGTCAATGATTCATCTTTTCTGAATCATTGAAATATTGGTGTCTGAGACATCTTGAGCCTGTAATGTACACCGTGAGCTTTTAAAAGTTTAGGGGTGTGCTGTAAATTGTGTTTATAAATGACTGTTGAGATGGTATTCTCACTTAAAAAAAGAGTAGAGGCCTGGACTGGGAAACAGGGTTGCCAGGTCTGCAAAACAAAACCAGCTGACATAAAATAAAGTATTATTATGGCTTGACTTGATTGCATGTAAATGGTTGTATATATGGGTATGGAAGCCTGTTTAAGCTACTAAATAAAAAAAAAAATGTAAAAACCGGAATTGGGACTTATCTCACAATTATAACTTTTTTTCCTCAGAATTGTATGATATGAACTCGCAATTGTGAGTTATAAAGTAGGAATTGTGGAATATAAATTCTCAATTACGGGAAAAACTCGCAATTCTTACTTTTTTTTTCTCTCAAGTGCGAGTTTACATTGTAATTCTGACTTTTGTCTCACAGTTTTGACGACTTTTCTCAGAATTGTGAGAAACTCGCGTTTAATTCTGAGGGTGAAAAATACTATTTTCTCCTAAAATTGCAAGTTTATATCTTGTAATTCTGATTTCCTTTCTCAGAATCGCATGTTTATGTCTCGCAATTCTAACATTATTTCTCGAAATTGCTTATTTATATATCACAATTCTAACTTTATAACACACAATTGCGACTTTATAGCACAAAATTCTGACTTTATAACTCACAATTTTGAGAAAAAGTCAGAATTGTAAGACAAAGTCGTGGTTACCTTTTTTTTAATTTTTATTCAGTGGCAGAAACAAGCTTCCATATATGTGCCAAGTCAATTTAAAAAGGAAAAAATGGTCACTCTTAAAGTTTGACGTAGACCATCATGGCGATGTGTTTCCATGGGCAGACACCTTTGATTTTTTAGTGATTTGTGAATGTTTAATTCAGAAAGGTTGGATGATCATTTTCAGGAAATGGAAGGCATTCGTGTTTTTTATGCTCTGTTTGCACTTATCTAGAATCATAATCATTTACTTGGACAAGCGCAGATTAGACAAGTGGCACCTAATCAACAGTATCCATCAATGCAACCGACACAGGCAAGTACAGGCAAATTTGCATTCTTGATTTTTTCAGCATTTGCTGAAACCCGGTGATGACAGCCCATGCTTCTCTCTTCAGAACATTTCCCAGGGCTACACCATCTACGGCTCACACATAGGGATGCAGCCACACCCCTCTCAGCCCGCTGGAATAGTTCCTACCTCGTACGGTAACCAGGGCTTCCAGGGAGGACATCCTGGCACAAACCCAGCCATGGTGGACCCTCTTAGGCAAATGCAGCAGAGACCTAGCGGCTACGTCCATCAGCAGGCTCCTGGAGCATACGCACACACCGTGCCAAACACGCAAAGGTCAGTCACAGACAAAAGTGCTTGGCTTGAAATAATCAGATTGGCTAAATGTAGTGTTAATTTGGTCAACTTTTTTTAAAAAGTTTTTTTTAAGTCTGCAAGCCTTGTGTAATGTCTTTTTTAATTTTGATTATATATAGACATTATCCGGTTTTGTTTTGTTTGTTTATTTTTGTTTAGTCAAGTTTTAGTCAAATTAGGCATGCTTCATAATGGTTAACCTGATAATCACAATTATTTTGCTCAAAATTATAATTGTGATTACTGATCATGATTGTTGTCATTTGAGAAATATTAGAATTATTGCACCTATAAACAAATCGATAGAAAGTCAATTCTTACCCATGATTTATTTTACCTCATCTAGTTTCCTGATTTATTATATTATCATATAAATGAACACACTCTATATTATGAAAACTGATAAAAGCTTCTCTAAAGGCTTGTTCACACCGGGACGAATATCGCGCACGATTATCGCTTACCTCCCAGAACTGTCTTAAGGCTTGTGCACACCAGGACGAATATCGTGCGCGATTATCGCTGACGTTTAACGCCTCGTGACTAAACAAAGGGCATCAATGTGAGTGTGCACACCGCAAAACGCGAGGCGTAAAAGCTTAATTTTTTTTAAAACGCCCCGGGCTAGTTTTTTTGGTTTGACGCACCGCGTTAAAAACTGGCCGACCAATGAGATTGGCGCTTTTGTTCACATGCCTAGAGCTTCTGAAGTTACAGTAAAACACGACTTGGTTGCGCTCAAGCACAAAACGGTCTTGCCGAGCACACATTGATACCTAACGACGAAGAGGAAGTAAGTAGACCAAGAAGATGCATCGAGGCAAGATGAATGTAGAGCTGCTGGTCTCATTGGTGTCTGAACACAAAGGGCTTTATGACAAATGCGACAGCGACTACAAAAATCTCGATAAGAGGGAGTTGTTATGGAGAGGGCTTGCAGATCAAATAGGATTCGATGTGTACCGGGGTATTTCTGTTTTTCATTAAGCGGCATCTAATGTCAGGTAGTGAATTTGCATGTTCACTCGGCTCATCGCCAGTGAAAATCGCTTGGGTATGAACACAAAAGATCCGTCAAAAACGTCGGCGATAAGCGCGCGCGATAATCGTCCCGGTGTGTACGAGGCTTAAGTCAGTGGTTCTCAATTCCAGTCCTCGTGTACCAGCGCTCTGCGTATTTTGCATGTCTCTCATAGGGTGCGTTCACACTTGTAGTTCGGTTCGTTTGGTCCGGACCAAAAAAGAAAACGATACATTTGGTCCTGGTCCGCTGAGTGTTCACACTTGTATTTTTGACAGTGACTCTAAAGATACCGAACCTAAAGGCATAGTGATACATTCACAGCCTGATTGGTCGGGTTGAATGACGTATATTTCGCGACGGAACTCGGCGAACACCCCGAACAAAAGCTGTGTTCGACTTAAAGCGGTGCTGCGCAGACCGATCGGTGCATGACATCAAAGTACCCAGTCACTGATCGGTCTGCCCAGCGCCACTTTAAGTTGAACACATCTAATGCCATCTGCTGGACTAAGCGCGCTCATTGCTGTTTATGATTTTATTTTCACCACCTGCGAACTCACGAAGAGCTCATAAAAGCCACTCGTTGCTCCACGTTTGCCCTCTGCTCACAGTTTGGGATTCACCGCTCATTCTGCGTCGTCAAATCATGTCGCATAGCGTTGCATCTTGTCATTACTTCCTGTTTTTGGTTCGTTTAGAACTATTTGGTCCGTGTTGCGTTCATATTTCATTCGAACCACAGCAGAGTTCGTTTGGAAGCGGACCGAGAACCATCTTTTTAGCGGTCTCGGTCCGTTTGTTTGGTGCACAACAGGGTTCGGATGGCAGCGTTCACACTTACTCAAACGAGCCGCACTAACAGAGCAATCGCACCAGAGTTCATTTTAATCGAACCAAAAATGACAAGTGTGGACACACCCTTATTTAACACACCTGATTCAGATAACCAGCTGGTTAGAAGAGAGCTCCATGCATGAACTGTGTTCCGATCGATATGATCCCTACACAGTGTTCATTGCTCCCTACTCCCTGAGCACGGGAAATCCGTTGAAGTTTACTTCACTTATGAACAATCATTCATGGATTTGCGCTATGCCACAGCCTGCAGCATCTTCACACACAGACAAAACTAGAGAATTGTGACATAATATACCTCTTTAAATAAATACAATTTAAATTCACGTCTTGCACACTTTATAAATAAATACTATTTAAATTCACGTCTTGCGCACTTTAATGCCCTTTGAATATAAACATGTACGCTCCCTTCAAACTGGAATCATGGCAGAATATCCTGTGATGTCCACTTCGCAGGGCACTTACAGTCGAATCGAACAAACATCTGAAGTAATAAGAGATACATAAAATGTGCAGAGCGGTGGTACATAAGGACTGGAATTGAGAACCACTGCTCTAAGTTAAACAGTGAAATTCTTAAAGGTGGGGTAAGCGATTTCTGGTAGCCAATGTTGACACCAAGTTGAGCATCACTGTTTAGGCCATCTTCAGAGTGGGGGAAGCTACATTATAACTACTGTTCGGCGTTCAGCCAGTGACTTCTGCTGAAATGCTGAATTCCTTGAGTGCGTCTGCTGTTTATTTGCCAAAGGTTTTTCATGCTTTCTCTCAAAAACACCTTTGGTTTTTAGTTTCCTGTTTTAGAATAGAGTTCCCTGGTGCCTGTAGGGGACCTTTGTCATGGGACCCTGGGTGAAACCATTATCCTTTAAGAAATGATGTAAGGTAACGTGTATAGGGGATACTGGGGCTAATTGTCATATATATATATATTTTTTTACTTCAGTGTATTGTTTTTTTTTTGGCTAAAATTCTGTAGAAATGCATACCTTAAAGGTGGGGTAAGCGATTTTTGGTAGCCAATGTTGACCTTTGAAATCACCAAAACAAACACGCCCCTACCCCAAAAGGGTCTCGCCACTATTTTGATAGCTCCGCCCCACACATACATACGCAACCCAGGCACAGATTAGTTCTGTGAAACAAAGCAAAACCAATAGATAATATACTATACTATAGAACTCGTTATAATCAGTGATGCTGTCTACACCGGCTCACCAAAATTGGACAATAGAAGATTGGAAAAACGTTGCCTGGTCTGATGAGTCTCGATTTCTGCTGCGACATTCAGATGGTAGGGTCAAAATTTGGCGTAAAGGACATGAAAGCATGGATCCATCCTGCCTTGTCTCAACGGTTCAGGCTGGTGGTAAAAAGCCCTCGGCATCCATCTAAAAAAACTCTATGACCAGAGGAATATTAAACGCGGATAAATAAACTCACCAGCTTACAGTATAAGGCTCGTCCCCTTCCATTGTCAGTTACGCTCGTTCCTGTTTCGTGTCCTCAATCTGGCAGCCCGCGTGAGTGTCAAGTCTGAGGAGAAGGGGGCGGGACTGCAGTATCCATTTGCAGTACCAATTTGGACTGCAGTACCCATTTTAACCACTAGCTGTCTGTACCTTTAATCTAAAGTGTTACCCCATACTTATTTAGTAATGTTATACTGCACAACCTTTGAAGGAGTGTAAAACACATCAGCTCAGCTTTCACCATCTGTCTCAGGTTTTCCCATCAGTCCATGCAGCAGACGCCTTTGATGCACGGCCTGGCTCAAGGTCACATTGGAGCGCAGGCCATGCACCCCAACATGAGGACCAATCAGATGATGGACCAGCAGCAGCAGCAGCAACAACAACAGCAAGCCCAACAGCAGCAGCTGATCAGACAGCATCCAGCTCTCAGAGTACGTACACCACACACCACAATGCATTGTGAGACACTGCGCATTTCACACGCCTACATTTCAACGATTCGCCTGTAATGTCGTGGTGTCTGTGTGTTTGTCTTACAGCAGCAGGTGCAGCAGCAGCAGCAGGTTCAGCAACAAGTGCAGCAGCAGCAGGTCCAGCAGCAGCAGCAGCAGCAGCAGGTTCAGCCTCAGCAGGTGCAGCAGCAGCAGGTTCAACAGCAGCCGGTGGCGGCAGCACAGCCTCCCGCTCAGGCCCTGGGAATGCAGCCCATGGTAAGACCCTGAACTATCTGCACATCTGCAGCATCTTTCAATTATGTACTTTTAAAATGCATCAAGTACTGAAACACAAAGGGGTGGAAAATTAGTCAGATAAACTTTTATAAAACAGTTCTAGAAGCGTCTGTGGCTTTATTGCGTTACTTTTTTGGATATTCAGAACATTTTCTTCTGTATTTTGTCTCAGTTCCCTCGGCAAGGCATGCAGCAAACCCAGCAGCAGCAGCAGACCGCAGCGCTGGTCAGACAGCTCCAGCAGCAGCTCTCAAGTATGCTTGAATCTTTACAATACTCAGTTTCAAACAGCCACGATACACTACTGTGTTTTTGCATAATATACATTGCCCTCCAAACATTTTCAAATGCTCATGGACAATATCAACATAAATCCTTATTTCTCATAGGGCTTTATATAATAAATAAACTAAAATACTTTAGAATTGAAAAGTACTTCACCTTGTATGATTTTTCTTTTTCTTTTATTCTGTTAATTATTTATTTAGTAAAAATACACTCAACATTTAGATTAACTGCCCCCAACGAACTAATATTAAATGCAACTTATAGGTGCAATTCAACTTTAAAAGTGTTTCTGAATTATTTTTAAATCATGTTATTGTTTTACTGCAATCAGTTTATATTATCTAAATATTTTATTTTGAAATATTCTATTTGTAATAAATTACATTTACTTTTAATTTTGTAGGATACTATTCATACTAGTTATATTGTTTAAATTTGTTCCCTGGTATCTGCTTATTATACTGCGTTTTTAAGGTGCTTGTTTTGCTCTTTTTGTGATAACTGGCAACCAGTGATAGCTTTAGAGGGAAGAGTTCAATAGTGACTAGGGCTGTCAAAATGACTGAAAAACTAAATTCGAATTTTCTAATTAAATATTATCAAAATTCGAATTATATTCGAATTTAAAAGGCATAATTTCAGTTAGGGGGGAAAAAGCTTTTGGCTTCTCTCCTGAGGCCACAAGAGGGCGCATCGCGCAAAATATTATGCACGTTTCTTCAAAGCGTAATAAAATAACACGACTATCTTTGAAAAAAAGTGCATAATGTTTAAAATAATGTTTATAAACCATATATAATTAATAAAGTTGCTTAAAAAATTTGAAAAAAAACGCGCATTAATCAAAAGTTATGTCTTGAAATCATAAAACTACAATTTAACAGCAACTTATTCTATGCAATATGTTTTATAGTACAATTTGTTTCTTCTTCTGGTAATCAAAGGCATAAAACATTAATTTAATTCTTGTAATCCAATGAAAATGAAACCTGGATTCTTTTAGTAGTAGTAGTAGTATTACATAAAAAAATACATACTATAGTAATCAATCAATAGTAATATATTTCCGTCACAATTTCTTCAAGTTAAATTTAACTTTTATTTTGACGGGTTGCCGCGAAGACCGTTAAGTTTCTGTGTGTGATATGATTTTAGTTTTTCTGAAATGAAATGGTAAAATGCTCGTGAAGTGACTCTCAGAGCAGCTCTGAAGATGTTGTTCATGTGTTCAGAGGCTGAAAACACTGCGAGCATCACGCACGCTTCAGTAAACGAAACCACGTGTCTACGCCATTCATTCACACAGAGACATGCAGGATTCATATTTCAGTAGTCTTTAGTCTTTAATGTTCACAGACTCTAGTCCATATAGTGGTCTGATTGGATTTATCCATCCAAAATGTGAAAAATTCAGCGTTGTACTGAAAATTCCGTCCGCGTTTTCCACATCGCTGAAATCATAGGGCCCTATATATTTTTGAGTAATTAAATATAAATGTACGTTTGGCTGACTAATGGCTTAAATGAACGATTACTACAGTAGTCGACTACAAAAATCTTTAGTCGTGGGCAGCCCTTGTATTTTCTAAACAGTATGTTCTAAATTCATACATTGTGTATTTGTTTTCATTCTCAGTGCTGTTCTTTATCAATGCAAAGTCATCAATATTTAAAAACGTCATTTTCTGTATTTAAATTACGTTTTTGTTTCCCTAGGTACTCAACCTGGACAGAACACCAACTCATATTTCTGAGAGCGTCTGAATGCATTTCACCAGTTGTAAAGAGTAGTTTTAGCGGGTTTTCTGCTACATGAGAGAAGAGGATCCCAAAAGAAGCCTGCAGGGCTGAAGTAGAGTCAAACATTGTTTTCAGACATGCATTTCAGAAAGTCATTCTGTGAAACATTGAGGTGAACCATGGAAGAGTATATGTAAAAAGAAGTACAGGAAATTATAAGATTATTGCAACTTTATTTTATTTCAATTTGTACAATTTTTCAGTTTCGTGTATTTCTCATTAAAAAAAATCATGTCAGTTTTTATGCCTTGTTGTACATTGTATATAGAGTGTGACCTTAAATCATTGTTTGCTTGAATTTCTATGGAACCCCAACACCATCACTATCTTTTATTACTACAATAAATCCTGGTACGGTTCAAGTATTCATTAAGACTTTCACTCGTCTTGTGTTGTTGCCTTTTTGGGAGTCTTCCCTTTCACCGAGCTCCTCTCCAGACGACTAAACAACACTCCCAAATCAGGACCCAGCGCCCTTCCTTCCAACCCACAGTCTCGTCCTTCATATTTCATCAGGAAGTTGACAGAATCCCAGCTTCTCTCCTCAGGCGTGACTCCCAGCCTCGATAAAATTTTATCGGCAAGCCCTGGCACCACAGGTTGCAGGAGCATCCCATACACCCTGAGGCACTCTAAAGACACATGAAGGATGGTGTCAAGCCACTGCCGGTCTTGTTTCCGGTCCAGCTTCCACGGGGCGTGTCTTTGGACAAACCCGTTAGTGAGGCGCACGCATGCGCTAATGGCTTCCAGCGCTTTATAGATGTGTAGATTCTCAAAGTGCTGCTCTACTAAGACTGGAAGCGCTGATACAGCCTCCACCATTCTGTAATCATCCGAGACGGCTCTTCCACCGAGCTCTTCCTTTGGGAAGCATGTGTTGGAGAAGCGAGGATACACCTGTGTAGGGTTAATCGAGGGCGCGGTGCAGCGGTTTAACAGCCCTCCGAGAGCGTCCGCTAACTCGCTGTTGCACATCTTAATGACTTTATCGTCATAATAGTCGCAGTCCGAATCAGGAATGCCTTGTCTGAGAAGGAAGTATCTCAAGCCGTCCACGGTGAACTTCTCAATGGCGTCCAATGGGTTGATCACGTTTCCGAGACTCTTGGACATCTTCCTTCCCTCCACCGTCCAGTGAGAGTGAACATATATCATCTGAGGAAGAGGCAACCCCGCAGCCATGAGAAACGCGGGCCAGTATATGGCGTGAAACTTGAGGATGTCCTTACCCACGACGTGATGCACCGCTGTCCACCATTGAGAGTGATTCTGAGGGTAACCCACCACCGTCAAATAGTTCACCAGAGCGTCCAGCCAAACGTAGATGGTTTGCTCCGGATCCCCCGGGACTGGGATACCCCACCGGAGCCGGCTCTTCTGCCGGGACACTGACAGATCTGGGATGTCGTCCTCCAGCCACTGGAGAACAAAGTCGTGAAACTTCACCGGCTGGATGACCTTCGGGTTCGATCGAAGCCAGCGAAGCAGTTCGGTGCGAAAGTCTGATAGACGGAACATGTAATTGTCCTCCTTCATCCACTCCACCTGTCAGAGAGGATAGAGAAATTATCTTACGCCACTTTTGAAGAACTTCAGAAGAGTTTGATTGGGTCTCGCGTGTCAAGACTAGTGCTGCTCGCCTGAATAACTCAAGAGTTAGTCTTCTAAAATCTACAGAAGTTTTGTTTCCAAATATTCATTCCACATCAGTCAACCTGTGGATGTATTCTGGATCAGGACTTTATTATCTTTCAGATGCCACGGACCCCCAAATATAATCATCCTCATGCGAGGCAGCTAGCTATACAGTTTCACGTTTCATGTTAGTTGCACTTAAAATAAAAAATTGTAATTGGTATACTATGTACACTATATAGTATACCAATGTAAAAAAATGATTTGGAAAATATGTAGTTTCTATTAAGTTACATAGTTTTCTTTAAAACTCACTTTAGGACTGTACTGTTAGATGTTAGTTCATTAATTTAATAATTTATTTTTAATCTAATTTGTTTATTTGTATTATTTAGTCTCCTAATCTAAAAAAAATATTTAATTATTCTTAATCATTTATTTTAATCAGCTTTTTGTTGTTTACTTATATATTTTAGTCTGTTTTATATATCTTTTTCTCATTTTTAGTTTGCTTATATATTTTAATCTAATTTTTAGTTACCTTATGCATATTATATTTATGTACCTAATGTCTAATTTTTATATTGTTTTGAATTTTTACTTATATTTTAATCTAGGAATTTTCCAAATAATTTATTTTAATATATATATATATATATATATGTATAATTTTTTTATTTTAAATATTATATAATTTAGTCTATTTTTTTTTTTTTTCAAATTTTTAGTTTACTTATTTCATTTTTTTTTTTTTTTTTAATCTAATTTTTATTGTTTACTCAATCTAATTATTCAATTCTTATTTTTAAATTTATCTCACTCTTATTTAAATCTAACTTCAATCTCATTTTTAAACACTCTGATTAATCTCCAGATGCACACCAGTATTGTTTTTTTCTAAGGCACGTTTATAAGAACTACTCGAGAGTCCTAACTGAACTTTACACACCACAGTCTGCAAAGCCCTGTTCTGGTGCCATCCTCTGATGGAGCAGCACAGGCTTTTATTCCAGGATGGATGGTACCTTGTGGCCGCTCTCGCTGGATACTTTGATCCGTCCTCCTCCTGAGTCTGTGCTGTCAGTGACTTGAGCTGGAGAGAGAAAACTTTCATCTGGAGTGGAGTACCAGCCTTCATACGTGCCTTTGTAGAGGAAGCCTCTGCTGTGGAGGACCGTCCAGAAGTCTTCAACAGCCCGTCTGTGCCTTTGCTCTGTGGTTCTGATGTAGTCAGTGTATGAAATGCTACATCTTTGGAAAACATGCTTGAAACTCTGTGATATCTCAGTGCAGAAGCCCAGAGGCTCTTTACCAGCACTGCTGGCTGCCTGCTGGATCTTCAGACCATGTTCATCCGTACCTGCAGATACAAACAACTCACTATAACACACTGCTCTAAAGTTAGTATCTCACTTTCTTCCAGTCATGCAGCACTGACACGTGTAAAACATACCCGTGGCGAATCTGGAGTCGTATCCCTTTAAGAGTTTGTACCTGTGCAGACAGTCCGCGGTGACGGCGGAGTACACGTGACCGATGTGAGGAGACGCGTTGACGTAGAAGATGGGCGTCGTGATGTAATATGGTCTCGAGCATCGCGAAGCCTGACGGTCGTGAATACTGTAGACGCGCGGAAGTCTTCCGTGGAGCGCGTGACTGCATAATCTCAGTGCGGTTCTGGCTCGAGCGAGAGAACGGCACGGAGACCTCATCACGAGACTGCTGCTCCCGGTCGCGTGAGCGAACATCCGGGTCAGCGTTGTCTCGCCTGCGCTAACTTTCAAAGTAAAGGTCCAACAAATATTCCCTACTTTGAGATGAATTTGTCACGTTTGAAATCAGACATTTTAGTTTTGTGTAAAATATACGTTTTATATATATATATATTTATTTGTATGTATATATATATATTTATATATAAAATGTGCGTATAAACATGTAACATTTAAAAACCTATTATGTAAATATATTTTATGCATACTAATATATTTAAGTTGACATTTAATATTTAAAAGCCACTCGTAATGACTACAATATATATATATATATATATATATATATATACATTTAATATTTTTGAATTATTACAAATATTTAAGATGCCTACAACTACCCAAGTATTTGATTCTGCATGCTTGGCGATTCTGTTGTAATTCTGATCTATATTATTGATCAATAATTGTTATTGATTATATTATTGCGCGTTATAGATCAGTGCCTTATTTGCAATCTGCTAGCAATTTAAGGTTTCAAAAACAATGGTTTGAGTTGAGAAATTACGGTTTGCCACAAAGTCCTTACTCTAATCTCACATTAAAATCTTAAAATCAACAAGAAAATCTGAAATTGAAAGTGGCCATGAAATTCAAAGAGATTCAGAGTGGAACCTTTGTGTTGGACCTTTTAGCTCCGCGTTGAACCGGAAGCGGTGCTGTTGTCTCGCGATCGGCGTTTTATCATCCGCAGCCTCATTCCTCCCTGAAGTTACAGTCGAATTATGAATTAAACTCTGTACTTGACTCTTTGGCTTCTACAGATCGACCGTCTAATCCCCCTCTGTGCTCGGGCTGATAGTGTTCGCGGGATCTCGTCGCTGTTGAGATGTCAGTGGTGGGCTTTGATGTGGGCTTTCTGAGCTGCTATGTAGCGGTAGCTCGAGCCGGAGGAATAGAGACCGCGGCCAACGAATACAGCGACCGAAGCACACCGTGAGTCCGCTTTATTCACTGCTGCACACACACACCGCACGCCTGAAGCTCGGAGCTCGGACTGAGCAGATCCGCTGTGAACTCGCTTACCATAGCGCTACATGAAAATACCGCGGTACTGTAAAGAACACTGTGGTGTAACACTAGTAGCGTACCGTGTGAGAATCACGGTAACGTTCTTTTTAGTAGCGTTGGTTTTGAGAAACAACTGAACCATTATTTATTTATTTTTTATTTGAGAAATCGGACTTAAATCTCGTGCTTTATTCACATAAAAAAAAAAATAATTTTTTTTTTAACGAGTTCCACTTGGTAGGATTTTATGATTATGACTATTATTATTGTATATAATTTAAAAAAATTATCTGTATATATATACACACACACTACTTTTCAAAAGTTTGGGATCTGTAACATTTTTAATGTGTTTTAAAGAAGTCTCTTCTGTTCATCAGGGCTGCATTTATTTGACCAAAAATACAGGAAATAACGTAATATTGTAAAATATTATTATCATTTAAAATAATGGTTTTCTATTTTAATATATTTTAAAATGTAATTTATTCCTGTGATCAAAGCTGTATTTTCAGCATCATTACTCCAGTCTTCAGAGTCACA